AGAGAGAGAGAGAGAGAGAGAGAGAGAGAGAGAGAGAGAGAGAGAGAGAGGGAAATGAAAATGGGGGCAAATTTCTGCCTTCCTTTTAGAGAGATGAAAAAGGGGGCAGATTTCTCCCCCATTTTAGAGAGAGAGAAATGACATTAGTGAGTGGTGCCTCCTTTTTTTTGCCCAAGTTCTACAGTTCTTGTGCAAGTATGTGCAGTACTCGAGTCCTGGATATGCTTTCCCATGTACCAAGTAGGTACATGGGAACTTGCCTTGGCTACTAGTCAAGGCCGAGTAACTCGGTTGTCTTCGAGGCCTGAGTTTTCAGTGTATTATGTGTTCTGTAGTCTGCTCTTATTTGTATACCATCTTATTAAACCTAAAGTGTTTGTTCACTTCTGTCATAACTTTTGAAGCATGGTCCATTTATATGACTATTGGTTTGAATAGTTTTCAGTCGTTGTCCAACATTGTGTGTGTGTATGTCAGAGAGAGAGAGAGAGCCTCTCCTGTGTTTCTCCTTCAGTGTTGTGTTCTCTTGCCTTGTTTCTTTATGGGCTCAGATCTTGGAAACTTTGAAGTTTTATAAAGGAGAGACTTGTACCTCTAGGCTATATAGTTCTCAATCCTACCTCTTTCATGTCGTGTTGGCTGAAGATTTTTGAGACTATCTGACAGTTGCAAGATACAACTGGAAGCAATCCCACTGAGAAGATAGCTGATTACCAGCGTGCAAACAAAGAGGTATTACTTTGCATACTTTCACAATTTCTCATTGTGTTCTCTCTCACTTGGCAGCTTCTTATGAAGACTTCCAGATATGTTCTCTGTTCTTACAATCGTTCTTGCAACAGGTTGCGATTCTCTGCAACCATCAGCGCAGTGTGTCCAAGTCACACAGTACTCACATGGAGAAGCTTGGAGAAAAGATGGCTGAGCTTGAGGTTCAAGTCTTATTGGATTGTTTGTGCATTCTTGACTGTCATATACATTAGGAAATCGGACCATAGACCAACGGACTTAGTAAAACCATGGTTCATTGATCCATTGGGGTCACGACTGCATGATGAAAGAAGGGGATAGTGATGGAGATAATATGACCCACTAGAACAGGTGGTGTCCACCATCGTCCATTTCGTAAGATGGTCATGATCCCAATGGACTATGGTTTTCCATATTCTGTTGGACTTATGTTTTAGGCAATTGTGGTACATAGTCCCTCTTGTTTGAAAGAAAAAATAGCAATTGGGCCATTTGGGGATGGAGATGTTGGTCCTTGGAAATCTTTTTTATCTATGTTTTGCTGATCCCTTGTTTCTTGTGGATACCAGAAAGTACTCAAGGAACTCCAAATAGATCTCAGTCGGGCAAAGAAAGGAAAGCCACCGCTAAAAGCTGCAGATGGGAAGCCAAAGAAGAAACAAAGCCCTGAAACGTAAATTTGTACTCATTACTTGAACTTTGCTTAAAGAACCATATGAGAGAGAGAGAGAGAGGAGGGAGGGAGGGAGAGAGAGGGAGGGGGGTCGTGTCGTAGGCACCGTGACGAGGACGTACCCTTAACCCTAATTAGTAGTATACGTACGTAGGTTAACGAAAACGAAAAAGACTAAACA